CATCACCCCCCCTCTCTCTCTATCCCCTTTTCTCTCTCTCTCTCTGTCTGTGCCTCTCTTGTGTGTCTCTCTGTATCTTTAAGTATTTCTCCCCCCTTTCTTTCTCTCTCTATCTCTCTCTCTCCGTCTCTTTGTCCCTGGTTCTTTTTACACCTCTGCCTCCTCACAATCTGTACCCCCTCCTCCCCCCTCCCTCCCTCAGCCATGTTACACTTTAAAAGCTTTTATCTATAACCGTAACGGATTCACAGACGCTTTCTGCTGATCTTAATCTTTCCCTGGACGTCCCGCCCTTCTCCCTCCTGACCCAATTTCCAACATGGACTATACATTATTTTGTTGTACTACGAATTAAAAAAATATCTCGGAATTGGAGCATGATAATCATCTTGAGAAAACACACTCGACTCTGCTTCTAATCTAGACTTGTATGTATAGTATATTAAAACTCTGTTCAGACAAGCGTAAGAAAAAAAATAGTCATGAGAATCCATGTGGATTATGTTTGCGTTTGTTTGCATTTAATTATCTACTCGACGAGATACATGACCCACTAAAGGCCAAACGACTCTCCCACACAGGGTATGGGACAGAAAAAAGAAAATGAAAGAGAAAAATTAAAAAAAATATGTCTGTCTGTGTCTGTCTTTCTGTCTGTCTGTCTGTCTGTCTGTCTGTCTGTCTGTCTGTCTGTCTGTCTGTCTGTCTGTCTCTCTGCCTGCCTGCTAGTCTATCTACCTGTGTCTGCTTATCTATCTACCCATCTCCCGCCCACAAAATACGTTTCCCCCTTATAAATCAAGAGAAGTGCAAAACATACATGTATAGTATATATAACATACACATGTAGCTCCAAATCAAACAACAACAGCTGTTAGTCATAGTAAACATCCAAAGAAAGAAAAACAAATACATGTAGTCCCAAGATGTTCATGATTTGAATCCCTCCCTCAGTCTCCCACCGCCTGAGCATCGCCTCGTCCAGTCAAAACGTAACCTGCCCCAGCGCTCCGTAATCCAGGGGTAATCCTGTCTCTCGCGAGTTGTTTTAACCCACTTCAGATGGAATCATCCTCCACAAACCACCCGGCGTGAGTAAAAATACCATACCACAGTACACCAGAGCTCGCCCCGGTCTGGTCTCACTTTGGAAACGTCGTTAAATCTATTCAATATGTCCATCCACCACGTTCCTTTACTGACCGTCACTTTTTTTTACGCCTCTGTGAGTTATTCAACCTCCCAGGCAGCCAGTCAGTTTTCTCTGTCTGTCTGT